GTATTTTATATTATCACTCATAGCTTTATTTATATTGTAATACGAAACTTACGCGTGTACTCAATGAAATTTACTGTCGTACTGACGTGATTCGTATCGGGTGTGTAGTATAAGAAAATATTACTAGATAAATATCACGTTAAATATCGCGATACATATCGAGCGTGTAGCATTCGCCTATGTATTTTGACAGTTCGATACGATGAAAAAGGTGATAAGATGTATAATGTAGTGCTCATGCTACAGGGACAGGACTAGATTGCGGTAATGGTAGGAGAAAAAAAATTGATGAATTTTGGTGTTTATAAACGTAGATAAAACCTAGAAGGAAAAGAAAAACTGAGCTACTCGCATAATGTAATCCTATAAGTAGTACTTACAATAAAACTATGATAAATAAAGTTCCTTCTAATTAAATAATGAAAAATAAATTACCATAATAGGTATTTATGATTATTGAAATTTAATAAAATACTCAGAATTAGTATAATTCTGAGTTTTCAAAGTTTATTTTAACGATATTACTTCATGTTGCTAAAGGGTAACTTAACACAATGAGAAATAACCTATTATTTGCTAGTAGGTAGATACTTTTAATGGGCTCCCTGTTTTTATTAATCAGCTCGCGATAATGTTGAATTTGTAATTATAAACGATAATTCTGTAAAATTCGAAGCAAAGGTAAATCATCCCTTCCATCAGCCTACCCCTATAAGTATTTCGATAATGAAGCTTAAAACCAAGGTCCCATCTATCTCTATAGGAAAATTCATCATAATCTATTTAGCTATTAGGGTGCGAAAGCGTAACAAACAAAGTCACTTTCGCATCTTTAATATTATATTAGTGATCCGCCCCGGCAATGCGGAGACATTTATTTTAACGGGATAAATATAGCATAAATCACTCGGATATAATGTAGTGCTAAAGATTTTTTTTACTAGAATAATTTCCTCTAGTTATTGTTAGAGTGAATTTTTTCAAGTAAAAATTTTCTTTAGATTTATAAATCGAGCAGAGTATTCAACGATATTGAGAAAAATGTGGACAGTAATAATACATATATTTTAATTCTGACAACCATTGTCTACATTTTTATTTTTTAAGCATTTAACTCCTTGACTTAAATTTTTCTTAAGATTTAAACCATTGTCTAATTTTATTAAAGGCAAATAATTAATACTCATGCAAGTTTACCCATAAATACATATTCATTTTTTTTATTTCTCCTTTATAACTCCAATTTATTTTTATTTCTCATATGTCGTACCGAAATATTTTTTTTATTCCAATAAATAGTATAAACATAAGGTTGACCTTTCTTACTATCAATAACACACAACACTTGAAACTGTTTACAGTGTACATACCTACCTGTAAGTGTTGGATAGGTAATTATCAAGATACAAAGAATTACTTATGTTATGTACTCACTCTGAATCTGAGTGCACTCTGGCCGCACCCGTAGGGTGCGGCCAGAGTGCACTCAGATTCAGATTCAGATTCAGATTTCGAAAACAAGCGCGAGAAATAAACAGTGTAGTCGAAGGGTACGGCCAGATTGCACTCCTGATTCAGATTCAGATTCAGACTCAGAAAACAAAGCGCGAGAAAAAGCAGGCAACCTGCTTAGACTACACTGTTTATTTCTCGCCCTTGTTTTTGCGCTGAAATCTACCAAAACATACTGATTACTTTTTCCAATAGGCTAGTTGACTCATGTCGAATTGTATTAAATAAATGTTTATTTCTTAAAGTATTTGGTCTAAGGAACCTAAATATATCGATTTCACTTCATAAAAGCAGAAGATTGCTGTAGAAATTTAATTTTAAAAATATTTTTAGTCTATATTTTTTAAACACTAAAATCGCTGTTCACCACATCCGCCATGATTTTGACGTCTCTTGTGGTAAACAACTAAATGTCATTCGCGTGTTACTGTGGGTGGATTCTTTCGTCTGACTAAATTTATGTTAAAACACTTTTAACTTTAGGAAAGAAAAAACAGTAAACTTAGTTTTTTTGGTAAAACTGTACTTCCAGGGCACAAAAGGTGATACTTGTTTTTTTTTGTAGAAAAGGTCTTTTTAACAGTTTTTTTCTGGCGCTTCGCCGGCCGCTGCCGAGGCACGCCCGCTTTGCTCGCTCGGCTCGCGGGTTATGGTCACAACACTAACCTAACCTAACCTAGTGTGAAGTATCACCACTTGATAAGAAAAGTAAAAAATTTCAATATTTTTTTCTAAAAAACTATCAGTGCATTTTAACAACAAAAATGCGAAATTACAACCAACAAAACTGTGAAGTTTTTACTTTTGGGCCCTGGAAGTACAGTATATCCGTTTTTTTTGACAAAACTAATTATGGATGCTGGCTTTGTGAAAGCAGAAAGCACAAATCTGCCAAGAATTGACGCATTGATGATTGGTGAATTTTTTGCACTAAACCCCGATTTCTGCTGTGCGGAGCAGAGAAATGACAAGGTATCTATGTAAGTACAGTGCATTTAGTATTACAATGGTATCAATTCTGGCGTGATTTTCTAAACTTAAAACTAAATTTAAGGTCAGTCTCACCCTTTCCTTCTGTATAGAGAAGGACAAGGATGCACTGTTGTCAAATTTAAGTTTAGCTTTAGAGAATCATGCCAGAATCGACATCAAACTGTTACAGCATATGAATAAGTGTAATAAAGTTGCGTAGGTTAATTTCTTTCGGCACTTTAATTCACAACTTTCCTGGAGTCTTCAGGGATGTGTTTTTATATTCTCGTACAATACAGTAATGATAATTACTTTATTTTTCGTGGTATTTATTAGAAATCATGTTTTTTTTATTATAAACGGAGTTATAAGTTATTTTCTACGTGTTTACGAGTTTTTGTTTACCACAGTTGACGTCATAGCATAGATAATCTATAGACTAAAATGGCCGACAGCGTTTTTGTATGTCCATGAAAAGTCTATTTTTAAATTAAAAATTTGTAGCTTTCTAGGTTTAAAAAAAATACATATTCATTTTTTTCGGTCTAATAGAACATTTATTAATCATTTAAAACCTTTTGACGTGACAACGTCTTAAATTAGGTTGCGGCTGGGAGTCACTTATGAAAAAGTGTAACGCTCGGTAACGTTACGATGAGTCTCTCGTGTTAAGTTTAAGTTTACATGTACAATGTTTTAGTAAACAAAATATATTTCTATAGTTAAAATTTGTGCAATTCTTATTTTCATTAAATTCCTTGTTCCTATTGTGCAATTTAATTATATTCATATCAATAAATATTCTACCGAGAAAAAGACGTTGTCACGTAAAATCTTCGCCCGTAAAACCGACTTTACAGGCAACCATTTATTTTTTTCCAAAAAGGGTCAACTAGCCTATTGATGAAAGTACCAAAAAAATTGAAATCTATGGCATATGATCATGCTGGTAATAATCAATAAAAAATATCAAGTTGCCACAAAAGTTTGATATAATACCAATTGTTACCATAGTGTTGTTAAAACCTGAATTCCATCCAAAGGGTTAAAATTATACCTTTGCAAACAATTGTTGTAATGCAGGACAGGACAGCTTACATATCTTTGAAAAAAGTCACATTACTCACATTACCCTACCTTTCTACTATTTACTATAAAAAACAATTATGAAGTTAAATGTTTTCTTTCTCAAAGAACTATTTATTTATTAAGTTGCCGATTAGTCACTATTTGTCTAGAACTGAAAAGGAAATTCAATATTGTTAATATAAAAAAAAATGGGTGCGTGTACTTATGTAGGCGCGTGAGAAGTTATCCTTCTTTGGCATCGTTTAAAATTAGTTTTTAATTGCATGCAAATAATTAATTACAATAAATTAATAAAAAGTCTGGAAAAGGACACAGTCAATAAAGTTCAGTTTTCATTTGAAAAAATAAATAAATAATCAAAATATTCAATATTTAATTAAAATCGCTACTGAATATAATTTATTAGAACATATGTGATTTGCACTTGTATGAAACTCAAACACGTATTCCGAATATACAAACTAGAAACATGTGGATAAATATTATAAATATGAATACCTATAACTGTTACTTTATTACAAAACGATGTGGTTTTTGGTTCTACTACACCAATGGTCAAGAGATGGCGCTGTAGTCTCCTGAATCGCGCTTTGATTCCGTTGTTCCAGATTAATAAATACATAGATAGGCCTTCACAATGCAGTCGTTAGCACCCACTAAATAGAGATTCTATTTCTATTTTGTTGGTAGATTTTCTTAATGTGCGGTAAACACAAAAGTAACGCATGAACTTAGTCGCTAAAGCGACTTTTTTTTACTTATTTCATAACACAAGTCGTTTAAACAAATCATTTTGCAAGCATTTTCTTCCTTTTTTTTCTTATTTTTATAAAATTTCGATACGACTGACAAGAATAGAATTAAAAATTATTTAATGTCATATGATTCAGATCATGAATCTATTCACAGGGTTACGATTAGGGATTGCAATCGAATATTTGAATACTGCGAATATTCGGTTATGTTGTTGATTTTGTCACGATCAAAATTCAACATGAGTCTTCCTATCATTCTGTATAGAGAATGACAAGGATATACTGTTGTCAAATTTAAGAATCATGCCAGAATCGGTAACTATATCTATTCTTATAATAATTTATGGTCACATAATTTACCATTCATTTGCACCCGGTGTATTTGTCGTCTTATTATAATAATTCACAGGTTGGTTGCATAGTTGCAATTAAAATTAATGAAGTATTGTGTTTATTTCAATAAAGTGTCTATTTCGTATCGTTTAAGTGGTAATTTGTGCAATTTCAATAAATGTTTGTATACTTACAATAGATGTTTATATGTATTTTTAACCGATTTTAAAAAAACCCTTGTTTGATTGACCTATAACTTTATTTTATAATGTTGCTGTAATTAATAAATCTGCTTAGGTAGTTAAAATATTGAAAAAACAAAAATATCGTGGTGAACTGGCGAAATCCTATGTCCATAAATAATATAAAGGAAAGGGTGAATGGGCTCATTATCCTTTGCTTTCATGATAACGGAGAATTTTACAATAGAAAACTATGAGTAAGTAACATGGCCGTTGGAACGGCGTCATAAATACCTTCTGACGTTGTTTATATTTGTGCACATTAGTGAACCTTTAATTGAATTGCCATCTGCGGTCTCTGATAATATAATGTAATCTACAAAAACTGTTTAACAACCACCAAAGTTTGATAATGTTTTAAAAATAGTGCATTGAAAACATGTCTAACAATGCTGTCGGCTCGTCGGGGCCAGCTCCCGGCAAAATACGTGGTCCAGGAAGGCCTCCAAAGCGTACGTGTACTTGGTGTGCTGAAAGTAAAACACCGTTAAAGTATGTCCTGCCAACTGAAAATGGTAAAAAGGAGTTTTGCTCAGAAACTTGCCTTTCGGAATTTCGACAAGCTTACAGCAAAGGCGCTTGTCTTCATTGCGACAATGTCATTCGAGGTAATGCTCCCTCAAGCAGTAAGAACTTTTGTTCCACATACTGTCTCAATAAATATCAAAAGAAGAATGAAAAACGAACAACATCGCCACAGTCTGGCAATGGTGCTAATGGATCAGAAAACCATGCAAATAATAATTCTACCGGAGCATTTTATGATATTTATCAAGCTTTTGATTGGAACGAGTATATGAAAAAAACAAATAGTGTGGCAGCACCTCAGGAATGTTTTAAACAAGCACCTAATCCACCTGTAAATGACTTTAAAGTGAACATGAAGCTGGAGGCTCTGGACCCACGCAATTTGACTTCAACATGCATAGCTACAGTAGTGGGAGTTCTTGGTCCTCGTCTAAGATTGAGGTTAGATGGTAGTGATAATAAAAATGATTTTTGGAGACTAGTTGATGCTGGAGATATTCATCCTATAGGACACTGTGAGAAAAATGATGGAATGTTACAGCCACCGCTAGGGTTTCGCATGAACGCAAGTAGCTGGCCCATGTTCTTGCTGAAGACCTTAAATGGAGCAGAAATGGCCCCAGCTAAATCATTTCAGCCAGAACCACCCACTCCTCAAACAAATACGTTTATGGTAGGTCAGAAATTAGAAGCTGTTGATAAAAAGAATCCACAATTGATATGTTGTGCAACAGTTGGAGCAGTGAGAAATGAACAGATACATGTTACATTTGATGGTTGGAGAGGTGCCTTTGATTACTGGTGCAAGTTTGATTCCCGAGACATATTCCCTGTGGGCTGGTGTGCCAGAGCCGGCCATCCTTTACAGCCTCCTGGTCAGAAAAGTGCAACTGCACCTTCTAGGTACTATAAAATTATTATGATCAATGTTTCTGTCAAGTGATTGCTGGCAGGCATAACTGATTTATGTAATTCTGATTTATTTCCAGATTTAAGCTACGACCTAGTGGTATACCAAATCCAGCATTACCTGAGGGTGGTTCTACGGGTACTAGTAATTCTAATAGCTCTGCTACGACAACTCCGGCTGCGATTGTTCGCCTATGTATTCGCAGCAGTTGTTCTGGAGGCAGTAACCTTTTGCCAACTAAAGTGACAGGACCAGGGCCTTCCGGAGCTGCTGAAGCTCTTGCAAAGGAATTATTGAGTGTTCATCCTGATCCACCAAGATTGACCCGAGCAATATTGACAGCTTCTAGTAGCTACTCGAATATAAATAATGTTCAGGTATTGTTATACTTAGTAATGTAATTTTATGTAATACATATAATTAACTGTAAAGAATATTTAAAAAGCATACTATAAATATGGGATCTTAATATTCATAATCCTATTACTTTTTGAGTTAAATGGTAAAGAATGAATATGGTTATATTAATACTATATATCAGTTTTAGAAGTTTATAAAACTTATGTGTCTGATTGATGGATTCTTTTTTAGGTATCATCAGGATCAAAAAATTATTCAGTTAAAGTTCCTTCTGAGTTGTCAATTGACGAATTGAAAAACTGGCTCAAAGCAGTATGTGAAGGAGTGGGTTCTTGTGTTGGAATGATAGAAGTAGACACAGGTGAAGCCGCTGGCCGGCCCTGTTCACTTTGTGGTGAATCTACCTCAAATAATATCACTGCTTTAAAAAGAACGACTGTAAGTATATGGTCATATTTTCCTCTATATTAGTTGTTTTCTCTAGTCAATCTAGCCCTAATGATTGTTGATTTATTGGTTTTATAACATTACTTTTTGATACAGTTCTTGTTATTAAACATAACATAACTAATACTGTTGTTTACTCATTTATTTTGATAAGAAGAATTTTGTCAATTTAATTAGTGCTTTTAAAGAAATGCAACTATCACATCAACTAAGTATCAACATCTTGGATGTTACATGTTGTGGTTTATTAAATTTATTTTGGTATAGCTCTTATGCAATTTCTGCAGAAGAGGCTGTTGTTTAAAAATAACAAAAACCTGTTACAACTATGATGGGATAAACTACTTTTCTAATACTTATTTGAGTGTGGAAAAGTTTCCAGTTAGCCATTTCCATGATTTTATAGCATGGATAAAATGGGAGTTAATGATATGTGTCATCTAAAACATGGTAAAAATACCCTTGTAATTCATACTACTTTACAAAAGTTTAAGGTGATGAAATCAACATACTTTATTTTACTTTGTGTGGATTGGTAGGTTGGTTTCATCCACTAGAACTTTTCTTTATGACAGGTTTAAATAGAAAGTAATAATTTATGGCATCAGGGCTTCATTTATTATTGTATTCTTACTAAAATAATTGTCAGTTACTAAAAGTGAGTTGGAATCACTTGCCCTAATGGATCCACTGGCCACTCACTATGGAAGTTTACCAAGACACTAAAAAAGAAAAAGTGACAATACCTAGTTGGGCTAAAAGTGCAACAGAAAAAGCAAGTTTGTTTGCCAATCATCTAGCTAATGTTTTCTCACCAAATGCTACAAACAATCAGGAATCGAACACATATGTGAATAATGTTCTTGATCAACCGTACCAGATGTCGTTACCACCGGAACCAGTTACCGTTAAAGAGGTGTGGTCGACAATTAAAGCCTTAAATGAACGGAAGGCTCAGGCTTCGATCTTATTACAAAAGAAATATTAACAAATTTGCCCAAAAGAGCTGTGGTATTCCTCACCACGCTATATAACGGCATATTCAGAACACAACATTTTCCCACTATGTGGAAGGTATCCCAAATTGTTATAAGGTCGGCAAGCCACCAAACGAAGTGTCATCCTACAGACCCATCAGCCTCTTACCTATACTGTCGAAGGTATGCAAAAGAATCATACTTAAAAGAATACTTCCCATTCTTAAGGCAAATAAAACAATACCAGATCATCAATTTGGTTTTAGACAAAACCATTCTACTGTAGAATAGGTGCATCGAGTAACAGAGGAAATCAGAAAGGCGCTGGAAAATAAAGAATTTTGTTCAGCAGCTTTCCTGGACATTCAACAGGCATTTGATAAAGTATGGCACGAGGGCCTTCTATGCAAATTAAAAAACTGTCTCCATCACAGTTATCACTCTTTATTACAATCTTACATAGAAGACAGAATATCTCAGGTAAAAGAATCAAGTGAAACATCAGAATTCTTTGAAATTAAAGGAGGTGTACCTCAGGGGTCTGTATTGGGACCAGTGTTATACACAATATATACTGCAGACTTCCCAACAATAACAGGCGTAACTACAGCAACCTTTGCTGATGACACTGCCATATTAGCCAGAAATGTTCGATGGTGGCATCTAATATTCTCCAAAAAGGGCTAGACGAAATAAGTATCTGGCTAAAGAAATGGAGGATTAGAGCAAGTGTGACTAAGTCGGTACACATAACTTTTGCCCTCAAAAAAGGAGATTGTTCACCTGTATCTCTAGAAGACAACATACTACCCAACAAAGATAATGTGAAATATCTTGGCTTACATCTCGACCGCAGGCTGACATGGAAAAATCACATTAAAGCAAAGCGAGAGGAACTTAACCTGAAATACAGAAATATGCTCTGGTTACTTGGACGCAACAGCAAACTCTCCGTGGACAACAAACTGCTAATTTAGAAAGCCCTCCTTAAGCCGGTATGGATGTATTGCATACAGCTGTGGGGTAGCGCGAGTAACTCCAACATAAGCGTAATACAAAGACTACAGAACGTTATCTTGCACACCATATCCAATGTGCCCTACTTTGTAACAAACAACGAGATCCACGAGAACCTACAAATAAGCACAGTAAAGGAAGAAATCCGGGCTACATCTACAAGATACCAAAAACGACTTGCTCAGCATCCCAACGAGCTGGCAGTCGCACTTACAAGACATTTCTACTGTAACCGGCTTAAAAGGCATAATATCTCGTCACTGTCGGAGCGAATGTAGCACATGGAGTAGTACTCTCAATGGAGGGTACACTCATCGCAATTATTGGACTGACAACGCATTCACTTATAGTAGCTAACCGATGGTGGATATGCAAAAAAAAAAAAAAAGTTACCAAAAGTGGTTTTAGGTGCATGATATCACATGTATATGAGACTCCATGCTGTCCTCAGAAACTTGACCAGAATTTTTAAAACATTATTTTGATTTATTCACTGTCCTTTTTTGTAGTTTACATGTCCTTTATACAGTATAAAAAATACCAACGTCATAAAAATAGTACAGTGTCTAAAAAAATGTTAAAAATAGCCTCTTTGCACAGACAGTTAAAACGCGTGCTCTTTTTTGGAACTCTTGGATGTAACGTCACAATACATCTAAACCTTCAATAAAGATCAATTACCTTAACCTTACAAGATACTGACATTTTGCATTCCATACCTTCACTGCGGATGGAAGTCGGAACCTACGTCAATCAAATAGACATTATGTTTCATAATGTCATAGTGAAAACTTGCATTCAGTTTTTGACATCTACGCACTCGCACTATTATTTAGTTGACACTGGCATATCCTGTGAACATCATGTTTGTTATATTTTTATGTCACATCTGCTCTTGTTGCGTTTCAAAATATTTGAATTTCCCACAAGTTTTTCGCACCTTTATATAACTAATTTCTTGCTATAAAATAAATTTTATTAACAATTATTAATGGAGAGACATCTTAAAAGTAATATTATTTGAATAACATGCATTTCCCTATTACCTTTATAGCAAAACAAAACATAATCATTTTTTAATAGCATATTCCATAAACACTAGCAAATAATAAAAAACTTGTAAAGTCTCGTCACTCAACTACTATTATGGTTGTTCATACAGGAAGACCCTGAGGGTAACGTGAACGGTGGGGAGTCGTCGGGTGGTAAAATGGCGCGCATCTCCCCAGACCGGCCGGAACCCGCGTCATCAACTACTGGCGCTCCACCTCCGCCCTCTCCCGCCTCGCTGCCCGCCGATTGGTCCGTAGAAGACGTGATCGGCTTCATCGCCGCCGCTGATCAAGTGTTAGCCGCTCATGCAGACCTCTTCAGGAAACATGTGAGTGTATAATGCCATTCAACTTAGAATAGGACCGGCTGGGCGCCATATTCTGACGTCATAGCTGTCAATTCAAACCAAATAGGAAGAGTGAGCAAAAAAAAGTTTTTATTTAATAAAACTTATTTACAAAGATTAAGTGTGAAAAAACATTAGATTTTTTAATAAAATTTATTTACTAAGACTGAGAGAAAAAACAACCGATTTATATAATATTTATTTGTTAAGACTGCATGAAAAAAAACATTAATCAGAATCTAGCTCTGCAATTCCACTTATATCTGCATTACCGCCGGAGTAGTTAAGAATAATGATGCACTATTACTAGGTCACATACGAACATGCATCCTTTATATAAACGAAAGTTTTAAATCGAGTTTCTGAACGCAACTTAAAGTGACATTTAGTTTATCAAGCATTCATAGCAAAAGCTCAAAAAATGAAAAAACAATCAACCAATATTAATTATCAATATTTGTTATTGTTTGTTAACAAATGTTTGGTTTTTATTCTAGAATTAGCTGAGTGCTAAAAAAAGGGTTCCAAGAATTTTTTGCAAACCGTACTTTTCAAGCGACGTTTGACAGATGGAGGTCATTGACATTCCTATTCTTATTTGAATCGCACTATAGTTTGTTTGCTAGTAGTCTCTCCTCCTCGCCCGCCTCGCTGCCCGCTGACTTCCGAACCGAACCTTAAATGGTGTAAGTGGACAAAAGAGTTTCTTTATGATGGAATGCCCAGATTATTCCAACCGAAACTCGCAGCAGAAACTTGAAACTTAGAAGTTGGGAGAGTTAGAAGTTTTTTTTTTTACTTTTGCAAAACTTACATCCAATACAACATAATCATCTTCTATAATAATTGCAAACTACTAAATACTTATTTACTGACTGACATTCGAAAATAGTTAAACCCGGTTTTGGATGCACTGTAAGCTTTGGATATAATGTTGCAAATGTGCTATGAGTTATTCTTTCTCGAAAACTGGGTGTACATGAATATTTGATTATAAGTAAATTTCCTTTTTTGCTTGTCTTGTTTCCATCACCTGCATGCAATCCACAACACAAGTGCTTTGTTGAAATTCATGTCACTGACTACTCTGGATACGTGCCAAAATGAAAGCACGCGTGTAAACCGCGTCAGAGCGGGACGAAATAATATTGTATATGCGCGTAAATCGCGTTATCCGGACAAACTCTTGCCACATTACATACCTACATTTGATGAGGGTAGAATACTTTGACCGCATTGTATAGTAGAGTTCTGTATTGTACGTGAGGAATTGCGTGACTGCGAGTTAGTGTGCACTATAATTGCACATAAATTGCAATCATATCACTCAGAGGCCCAAGCAAGAATTTTGACAGCTCCGTAAACGTACATTACCGTCAAATTTTGTATCGAAAAGGCTAGTTAGTACTTACGTCCGACAGTTAGTTTTCATCTTAGATTAAAACAAAAAGGGAAGATACGGCACTCGCAGCTCAAAAGTGATCCGCTTAAATTGTGGTGCATGATCACAATTCGCTGTAGTCACAATTGGACATTCAAACACGCTGCATGTACACTCAATGTAACTATATTGCGTATGTTCTGTATTATAAAGATAAAACAATGCCTTCGATGCTTTTATAAAGAACACAAATAGTTCAAATCAAATAACAAATGCCTCGGCAATCATTTTTTTCTCAAATATCACGGTTTGTCGTGAATGTTATTTACGTAATCGATATTGTTATCAAGAAAAGGACAACAATACAGCTCAGCCGTTCGCACTCGGAAGCTGATTTGCCGTTTCGCACGCTCTGCGTTGAAGTCTACAGTTCTGTCTCGCTCGTTCGATTGAATGTTACTTACAGACGTCTGCGTGTGTAAGAGTTTCTTATGTAGTTGAGTCGGATCATATTTTATTTGATGCTAGTAGGAGCGTATCGTATCTTCTCTTTTTGTTTTAATCTAAGGTTTTCATAAAAATCTTGATGATGCGATACGATTGCGGCTGTCAAAATTCATGCTTGGGCTTTTGGTTGCCAATTAGCGCGTAGCTATGTCGACTGTATATTGTCAAGAAACATAATTTGATATATTTTAACAGTTGATAAACATGTCAATAACATATTGTTTTCTTTTTTCAGGAGATTGACGGAAAGGCGTTATTATTGTTGAATTTGGATATGATGATGAAGTATATGGGACTAAAATTAGGTCCAGCACTGAAAATTTGCAATTTAGCTTCAAAAATAAAAAATCGTCGACACTATAACACATGAATAGATAATAATTAAAATAATCAATGAACTCTTAGAGTCTGAAACTTCAAGTTTCGTATTTTTTTATTGTATACTACTAATATGTAAGTATTTTACTGCATTTCCAATAATTGTGGTACAGTTTTAGCATTTTCCTGAATCAGAATCTCTACGTGAAATTTGCGCATAATAAAAACATATCGCTTAATTACATAGGTATACCTGAAGATAAATTCGGGCTACCTTTAGCACTTTGGCTTTCAATAAACATTACATCCATTTTGACTGTACTATAATTAGTACTTCTTTGTGATAGGTAAAATTTGTTTCTTATTGGAAAAACTGATACATGAAGAAGGAGCTGAGCCAATCGAGGATTACAATTCAGTTTCCATAGTTAGACTATTATTATGAGCTTTTAACATGAGACAATTCTAACATGAAATAATTCTAACATTTTTTCAGCAGTGTTTCTTAAATTGTTTTAATGGTAGTGAAATTATACTTGCTCATCAATATTTAATTAATATTAATAAATTTTGTTTTTGCCTCTCGTGAGATCATAATACAACCTTTGGTATAGGCTAAGGCATTTTTTTGGCTGTAGAATCGTTTTCCGAATATAAATTAGTCCTTTAATGTATGTATTAATATATTTTTATACCGACTTTGTCGTTGTGGATTTCTTTTCCCAATAAATTTTCTAGTTTTATCACTGTTTCTCTGCCGTGTATTAGATACTATACTAATGGACACATTTTCACATTTCTAGTAATAATTACCTAAAACTTATGTAATGAGGCTAAAGAGAGTTTTATGAGCAGCTTATAAGTTAATAAACTATAAATTTCAAAGTCTAAATAAACCAGAAGTGTGGTATTTTGTTAAAGAATTTAATAGACGAGTAAAACGAACTAACTCAAAACGATTTCGAAGACGGATTTGTCGCCTTGATTTAATATCCTATTAATTTATTTATCATTTAAGTATGTGTCATAGGGTTTTAGTTACTTACTTGTTCGCTAATAAATAATACTATTGTCGATATAAAAATATTTCCTCTTGTACATTTAAATTTTAAAAAGAATATGTAAATAAAAAGTAATCTGTGAGTGAAATTGCATTTAATGTAGTGCTCATCTTTTTGTGAAATTTTTCTAATATTGTTAGTCTTATTGGCTGTATTTCTAAAAATTTAATAAGTTGTATATATTAATGGTAACATTTTAATTTGACTAGTCGCGAGTAAAATTGTTGCCGGAATGGTATAAGTACCTAATTATTACAAAGTTTCAAATTCATAAACAATGTACAGATATTCTATGGTAGATTAGGTCTTAGTGCCTTTCAATAATTAGAAGTACTTAAAATGACCCCGTCTTATCATCACAATAGAAAAAGAAACATATATTTATAAATTAGTAACACCAATAAAAGGATAGCTGTGATTTATCAGTGCAGAATATTATTAGAACTTATGGAATGGATTGCAATGGCTCCATTCGTAATTCAATATTAGATTTTGAAATATGTATTATGTTCCTTGCTGTCGCCTGTACGTTTTGTAATCTTGCAAAAAAAGTATTTTATTTATAATAATAATGTCCTATTTAATTTTTATTTGCCATTTGAAGCGTTACAAATACTTATAATGTTAAAACATTTCGTCATGTGATATTTCAATGTTATCTGTTATCGTGATAAATAATTAATAATAATAATATTAAAATACTACGTTGATTTATTATTAATTAGTACGTGATGTATATCTTAAGTTCTCTCATGACATAGATAGGAATTTAGTTAAACACCATCGCCTATGTTTTTTTGTAAATATCGGTAAACTAGCATTTTATTTCTGTAGTCTTTATGTGACTTGATTTTATTTCGCATCTATCATTTATGGATAAAATTTAATTTGTATTTGATAATCATTTGGCAACATGTTTAATTATTCTTTATTCCAGTCATTTTTTATCTATTCTTTTTTTTATATCAATTGTTTAAGTAATAAATATGATTTAATTAAAATGTGTACATATATATTTTTAAAAAGTTGGCTCATTTGTTACGTGAAGTACAGTTCGATTACATTTTTGTGTATATAGGATAAAACAATATACATGATATGGGGATACTATTATTTTATTATAGAGTTTTTAATTATTCTATGTACATAGGTGAATAGCCAACTACATAAATGGAAACAGATGTGTATAAATTAAATAAAAAGCAAATTAAAAAATATTATTGGTGCTTTTAGTTTTGCCTCTTAAGTTGCAATATCAAAATTAGATGAAGGTAGGTACATGTGTTGCAATTTCGGATTGTTGAAGTGAAACTTCTTCAGGCACGCTTGACTTGGGGGGTAAGCTGGCGAATGCGTTACGCGTTACGAAAAGTGTGTTCGGGCGAGACGAACGGGAGTCGAGTGGGGGATATAAGCAAGAGAAAGTAGTGCGCGCGCACATTTTCTTTCTCTCATTCTCTTATAGCTAGACCGTGCGTGCAGCGTACTGAGAAAACGCGGGCGGGTGGCACTGACCAGTGTGGACTGGCCGCCTGCACGGCGCTTAATGAAGAACTCTCAAACAAAGACTCATTAGACTATTCAACAATAGGGTAAATCTGATTTAAAATATCATATTTTTATTAAAATAAATTTTCTATGGATATTTTTACTTGGTACCTATCTATTGTCACGTTAACGTAATTTAAACTCAAATAAAAAGATAAATATTCAAAAACTTTTGATTATATAACGTTTTATTTACGATGTCCCGCTTTCGACGGAAGAATCCCGCCTTTTTCACTCAAAAAGATCCGAAATCTCGACTTGGCAAAAAAGAAATCTGGCAACGCTGCTGCATACCTACGTTAACGTAATTTGAACTCAAATAAAAAGATAAATATTCAAAAACTTTTGATTATATAACGTTTTATTTACGATGTCCCGCTTTCGACGGAAGAATCCCGCCTTTTTCACTCAAAAAGATCCGAAATCTCGACTTGGCAAAAAAGAATACATCCACTACACTAGACGACTCGTCTCGTAGCCACGTTTATACCTACACCTTAAGGGTTTTCGCTGTGTTTATCAATAATATGCTTAACGCAGCGCAGGCCATTATGCTGAAATTGTAGTACGCAAGTACGAGAGGCCACCAAAGTTTTGATTTTATTTTTTCTAAATTAATGTATCTGCTGCCTACCTTCCGAAAAGTTGTTTATAAGTAAGTAACTCTTGCGTGATTATTTGGTATGAATACGTTTGGCGCAGTTACTTTACCCACGCATATGAAATAATACAATTAAAACCTGAGAATAAAAAAACCGGCCAAGTGCAAGTCGGACTTGCGCACCGAGGGTTCCGTATAAATTCAATTTAATACCTCTACGCGATCATGAGAAAAGAGGTAGTAACTTTAAAATTTTCAAAAATATTTTTTATTGTAATATGATGTAACTAAAACTTTACGGTTTTTGCAATTTTTCCTTTATCTGTACTATAAGACGTTACTTCGTACCAAAAGTGGTCCTATAAGGGTTCGTTTTTTCCTTTTGATGTAGGTACGGAACCCTAAAAATAATTTTATTAAGAGCCGTTCGAAGTACGTCGTTGCTATGTCAATTTAGTATGTGCGGTGATTAGACTACGGATAGCGGTTTTTTTATAGGTAAGTCTAGGTAACTCTACATATGACACAAAAAAGATAAAGTTGCCTTAATACTGAGATGTGTAATGAACATTACCTAGCTACGAAGTAAAGGGATATTGTGGTTATTTACATGGCAACAATTGAGAACCAGTTAGGGACTCATTTAGCCGAATTTTATCGACATGACTCAGTTGGTGACAACACATTCATCAAGCTCAATTGTTGAGCGGTCTCGGTTTGATTTTGTTACATAACGGTCATTTATTACAATGTTCGTTCACTGATATCGTCCTTCATCAAAGCACTACCAAAAATACTACTAGTACATATGCCATTTGATATTATTAGACATATTTAAGGCATATTACAAAGGAAAACCTTTAATTTCTTTTTCTACATAAGGTTCAAATGTTGATGTTGGAGGGAAAGAAAAGCAGAAGCCGTCAGCTGCTCAAAGCTTGTAAACAGACTGGATAAATGCAGAAAGATAGATATAAAATAGATATCTTGGAGCTAAAAGCTTCGAAATAGTAATATTTTTAAGCATGCAACTGCTAGATGTTTAAACCTAATAGCCCGAATAGCGCGGTGGGGGTTCGAATCCCGTCTGAAACCTGTATCGAGAGGAATTTTCTCTCGTAAATTAAAATAAAAAGAAGTTTTTATGATCGTTAAAGTTTTATTACTCTATTTGTCCGCTAATTCTGTAATTATCGGAGAAAAAGGAAATGATTATCATTGGTTTTCATTTTCGAAAACTATGAATACCGTAAGGCACAAAGCTGATCAAGCAACTATAGTTAGATATAATTTTTATTATTTTTAAAGCATGTAACTGCTTGATGTTTAAATCTAAAGAAAATATAACTAGAAAAAAAAAATCCACGCGGACCAGGCAGCAGACGGGACTCGAACCCGCACCTTTTTTTTTTCTAGTTATATTTTCTTTAGATTTAAACTATAGTTAGATGTAACTAATCCATAATGATATTGATAGTGCCTTCTTCTTTACTTAAGTTAATCTGTTAACAAATACATTTATTTTATAGACAATTTGGCCTAGATTCAGTAAAGGTATAACTGGAATGGAAATATAATAAAGGCGATGTCAAGTTAGAGCCCTGGAACAGTGCAGGATACAAGAGTTAGATACATACCTAACTATTACATAGAAACTTACATCAATTATAATATGTAGCTAATGCTTAACAAAGCGACGCTGACGTCTCTTTATTTGCTATTGAAAAGAAAGTGACAATATCAACTTATACAACGAATTAATTTAAGTGTGAGTGCAGCCTAATACAGGTGCATATTTCGTAAGTGTTTTTTTACTTATTTATAGGCTTTAGTCTCTGGGCCATTACGAGACACTGGAAATGTGATATTTTATAGATAATTGTCTAGCTTAGGGCAAAAGCGCTTTATAAGTGAAGCCTTTCTCAGAGGTTTTCCGATAATTAATAAAATATAGAGTGCCCACATGGTTACAATGATAATAGAAACTACATATTTACAAAAATGAATTTGATAATGAATAACATATACTTATTTAAAAATATTTCACTCTTTTGGGTGCAGGCGGATAAAAAGATCAGTTTTTCATAGCGGGACCTTCGGTGGTTGTTGTTGATGTTTTCATTCCTACGTGCACGAGAAAAAAATGGGCTTATAAATACTTGCTAGTAAATTTATTTATTTATACGAAGATAATACATTAAAATAACACAAACTTAAAAACTACATAGCTTAACCTACTTACCTACTACATAAATAAATAATTTACAAAATAAAAAACATATCACCCCCAGCGCCGCCATCAGAAATGGTGCCCAAAAGGCTGGCAGCATTGCCGCGTTGGATGGCAAGGCTGATCCGTTGACCAAGATAGCTGCCAGCCTTTTGATCACCAGTCACTTCGGTGAGCCTCTTTGACAATTCCTTAAAAAGGGAACGAGCGCTTGGACCCCATGGGCCCATAGTCTCAACACCAAACGGCACAAATATGTAGTTCTCAATAAGAGCTGAATATTTGCGCCGCTTGGAGCACTCGGCAGAGGCCGCCGCTGCGCCTGCAGCTAGGGAGGTACTACCTGTATGGCACGGAGCAAGCGTATCCACGCAGGTTGCATCCCATACAAGAGAACGACCCTGCTTCCAAGGTATGAGCGTCATCCCATCAGGTCTCTTGCCATCGTCGCGGAAGATGCCATTAGGCTCAAGGACCGCTGGTACGTTGACAGCGACAAGAGCTCTGCGGATGACGTCATTGATGCAGGCGTGGCGGGAGACTCGGCCAGCACTCATTTGGCATGAGAGACCATGGTGTCCCAGCTCACCGACGCGAGAACCACAACGGCAGCGATGGGGATGATTAGTCTTGACGCCAAGTCTAAGCGATATCGCAAGAGACAGAGTGCTCTTGTCGAGCAAAGTCCCGATATTGGCTGAAGGTAAAGCTTGCAGCCAGTAACCAGACTCTGCCTGAAATACGGCTAGAAGGCGAGCACGCTCAGTGGCGCCTTCAGAGGATGCTAAAAGATCACTCTGAATACGCAAACAGAGCGGCTCGTCCCACTGCCTCTGAGACGATAAAGAGGATGGTGGATCCACTCCCGGGCATACCCTAGACCATGCGCTTCTGGCCTCTGCAAGGTAAGTCAGCTCCACTACGCCCAGAGAAGGGCATAATATTTTATTAAAGAGTTCGGCTGTACCGTATGCAGAAGACAGAAAAGCGGGAAGGGCAATATGGGAAATATGGCGGGTACCTAGACCTCCGAAACGAACCGGGAGAGAGGCCTGCTTCCAAGCATTATCAGTAAATGAGCAATTTAGAATTTTGGAGAGTGTCTCTCTGAGTGAATTGTCAATAATTGACAATTGACCTGGAAAAAGCCAAAAGTGAGTGCTACGTAAAAAATATATGAATTTTGGGGCGAAAGCGCAAAAACGAATCAAGTATAAAGCCATGTGGGGATTAATTTTTAACATTTTTTCGGAGGACTGCTGGAATTTTGAAATTTGTTCATTAATAAAAATAGGAATGGCATCATCAAAAATCGGGGAACCGAGGAGACGGAGTGAATTAGTATCAAGAATTTTTATGTTAGGGGCTAAAGTCGAAAATTTCTTAATAATGTGTTGTAAATGTTCAGGTGAGAATTTTGATTCTGGAATAAATAGCTCGCATTTTGAATAATTTAAGTCAAGGCCAATACTTTTGAATTTATCAATAATGAGTTGAAAATCTGAGAGAACGGTTGAAATATCGCCAGAAATAGTTCCGTCATCAAGGTACCATACATTAAATTTTGAATTTAGCGATTCAATAATAGGTTGTATAGCCAAACTGAAAATAGCGGGCCCGAGAGGATCGCCTTGCTGACAGCCGACAGATGAATGCAACAGGTTATTTTTGAAAAGGAGTTTAGTTGATTTGCTGTAGCATTGCCAAAGATAATTATAAATATTTTAGACGCTTATTTTAGACTCTATTAGCTTAACAGATTTATTAGAATTTGGAGGCCGAGAGGGAGGAATGACAAGTGAATAAACGGAAGGATTTAGGCGGCAGTTCTCCTTTATTTTTTGTGTTAGAGAAGTACAGGTGCTATTTTGGTTAATATGTAAAATTCTAAAGGAAAATGTTAGGAGTTCTGCCCAGCTCTCAGAAGTGTTTA